CTAGGACAAAAAGCTAATTTTCCGTTTTGTTTCTTCTTTTCCAGTAAGATCCCCAGGTCCACTACTTGTCAGTGGTGGAGCTGGGGATCCAGCACCGAAAAGTTTTGCGTTGCGAAAGGTCGGTTTCTGTCCTAGCAAACCACACCCTAGCACAGGACACAGCGAATCTGTTTTTGGCCCGTACTGGTTGCAACTTCTTCTCCAATTCCCATCGCTACTGCAAGAGAATTAAGTAGCAGATCTCTCACCGAGTTTTCCATTTTTCAGCGAATAATGCCTCCATGGCGATATGGCGTCGTTTTCTTTTGCCGGTGATTGATCTCACAAACCTCTTTCTTAACTGGAGATTTTCCGTGCCTTTTATAGTAAACCAGACCGCTTCCGTGAGTATTTAGTATCTTTTTTCATTTTTCATGTGTTCAAAAGGACAGCTTTATAGTTCTGAGGAAAGATTGCATGGGGTCATATCCTCATCCTTATTTCTATTCTTAGATTCTCTTCGTTATGCTCGTGTCCCGTTTCCCCGTCTCGGTTGTTGTGCCATGCGTGAACGCCCTGCAGTTTGTTTTTACGGCAGTTACTGGTCATTTAATTGGTGAGTACAATACGGCAGTCACGGTGACATATCAAGTCCTTTTGTGGTCTAAATTCGCGTTTAAGCCGCGATACAGTAAGCAGCTATTCACTTCTACATATCTCTCCAAAGTCCATCGCCGCTATTTGCAGTGCGAGCGTTCTCAATGAAAAACACCGTACAGTACGGTTGACGGACTACTTGAACTCTGCCCTTTACCGCCTCTGCGCTCTCTAGCGGGTCCCTCTCCTCTAAGGCTTAGTCCTAGGGCATTCTCTAATCGTCTGTGCTCTAGCCATCGCGGCAGGACCATTGAGGAAAAATCAAGTAGTCCGTAAACCGTACACTACGGTACTGCGCAACACCCGAGTTGGGAGCAACATTTGCAACATTTAAGAATAGTAGGAGGCGCGTCGTTGACTACTGAACTATTCGCTTATACATACCAGTTGGTCATTGGTCATGTTTGCCATTAAACATTCCTTGTGGCTAGTTACCTGCGCATTCGTAGGAGCACCTGCTCAGTAGTCTAATGAGATTTATGTGCATAAACTGACTTTCTATGCCAATCTGATTTTCATGGGTGTTTTGGTCAGTTTTTTTTAAGCATAAGTATCGCAGAATGATCTCAGGAAGCTCCTGCTGCGACTGACGAACCACCGCTTAAAGCAACACCGCTTTTTCTCTAGTCGCTAAGCCCTATATTAACGCGCGGTACACAGATTGCCGTAACCCACCATAATCGAAGAATCATGTAAGGATAATGAACCACATGACGTGACTAATCTTACTCAAAAAAATAACTAGAGGAACAAAAAAGACACTACCTTCGCAGCTCGGCGAGGGTCCTTAGACAGTACTGATCCCTGCCCACTCTCTGCCCAGAGACTCAGACATGGAAAAATACCCACGTGCCATCTCCCGCAAGCCAAAAAAAAAAGGGCGCGCCTATAGTCAACACCGTTGGACGATTTTGTCACTCGAAACGTGAGCCGACCTAGAGATTAAACAGCGCACCGTGCACCCAATTAATTTTCAACATTCAATTCACAAATGAGTGAAGTCCCCACTACCACAGACGAGCCAAACGATCCGCCCGACCTCTCGAGATATCCTAGACTTACTGTTCCAGATAGCAACGGAAGCAGGATGAGACGGATACCACTCTCAACAAACCCCCATATGTCCGAACACACCACACTAAGTTCTCGAGGACTTCCGTCAGGAACAACTCTTCTGAATGCCGGTCCTTTTTGACGATCTTTCTGAGGTTACCAGACTACTGAACGGATTTTCACTATACTTAGAACGAATTCGCTTTTCAAACACTCAACTGCATCTCAGTAATGCTTATTCATCACTAGGCTCGCGCGTATCAATCATAGTATGTAAGTGCACAGAAATTTATTTCGCGCAACGCAGTACCCTGATATCTGAGATTGCAAAAAATTCTTTCTATAAATTGTCCAGCACCTAGGAAGCGTATATGTTTTGCTCATATCAGTTCGCATCTTTTAGACGCAACGGACTGTAATGGCTATATTCCGACGCAACTGTCTGTGTGGCGCGCAGTAATGGTAATTCCAACTAATAATTATTTAGCTTAATTACAACGTGCAAACTCTTTGAAGTCTAATTGATCGTAACGCGTAAATGCGGGCACAAAAAATAAAAATCAGGGGAATCTTAGCGTTTCGAGCCAGAATCTGAGGGCAAAGTTAGAAGGGCACTAAGTCACATACAGAACTTACTGGGTAAGAAACAATAAATATATGAAATAATAAGATATTAGATTAATATAAATAACAGAATGCTAGCTAACTTTCTGGTTCAGTAAAACCTGATCCGAGAGACCAATCCGGTGATCGGAGACTATCCGGGGGCAGAACTAAATCTCTTTACGAAACCTGCACATTATATCCCCAATGTCACAAAAACTCCCTAAATTTAGTCCGTCGCGCTTAAAAAATCATGTCTTAGTCCCATATTCGGCCAGGGTATTGTCAAGAGCCTAACCCTACCTTATCCAACTTCAAATAAAGACCTGCTTACCTGTCCATGGGGGAAGTGTGCCCACCCATAGTTATTACAGCTTCCTGCCCTCGGTATTGCTGCCACGCGGATAGTGTTGAATAACAGATATGCGCAATTCAGATTTATTAGCACGGTAAACTTGAAGCGAATAGCGTAGCCGAACTAGACGATAAGCTGCAGGTGATCCTGACGAGCCGATCTGACGACGGTCGAACTAAGAAGCGCTGGACTGTATGATTCATGGCGCATTATATAGGCGAACACAGCTGCGAATTCCTCGTCCACCTGCAGTCGTCTTCTACAAAAGCGAAAGAAGCGAAGCTGAAAGCGAGCCACATAAAAACTCAAAGTCATGTCAAATTGAAGTATTGATTAATTACTAAATAAAATAAAGATACAAAAATCGCGATATTCCCGCCGGCGCATTTTGTCGGGACCTAGTCGAACTGGCGCAATTCTCTCTCCAGCTCCCTTATCCTTTCCGCATTCTCTGCCTGCGCATTCCTTGCCTGTGCGATTCTTCCCAGAAGCGCTTCGCTTTCCTCTGGGAGGTCGCAGAGCGCCGAATGATGGTTGAGCTGCCGACAATGGAAGCACCTCATATTGTACTTGGGGCACCCACGATCTCTCATACAGTATTCGAGGCACTTATCACATTTTCCATTTTCATTCAGCACCCGGCGCCGTTCCTCCACCGTCATCACTTCTGTGCAGGAGTCAGAATAATGCTGACCCATGACACCACAAAATGCGCATCGCATAAACCTTTCGTCGTCACGGCTGATCGCTCCTTCTTCGAACCGACGCGGTGGGCACATTGGCTGCTGCATCATTTCTTCTACCATTCTCGCCAAATTAACATGGGAACGGCGCCTTTGTCGAAGTTCTTCTTCGACTTCAAATCTAGAACGACCGTTGACCAGGTTGACAGGCGCTTCTTCTGGCTGATGCTGTTCATGCTGTTCGGGCTCATCTGCGCGCGCATTTTCCGGATCAACCGGTTCTTCTTGTGCCTCTTCTTCGGCGTTTTCTTGCGCCTCTTCTTCTTCGGCGTCTTCATCTTCGACTTGAAGAGCCTCAAGCACTTCCATAAACTCAGCGTTTTCTTCGATAACAGCTCGCTCATCCCGTGCATTTACAGGGATGTCTCCCCCCGGCGCATTGTTGGGAAGGGCGCTCATTGTTCGCGAGTACCTCTTGCACTAAATGTTGCACGTTTGCAAGCGCTTCTCGCATTTCATTCTGGAAGAGAATGTTTTCCCTTCTCTCTTCGTCTTCAAGAGTCAGGCGCAGCTCTTGTAGACTTGAACGGTAATCGGCCAAGAGTTGAAGTTGATCGCTGAGCGCACTCTCAATCAACTCGCTGTCCGTGAGCAGAGGATCGTCATCCTCGTTGAAGTGCTCACGCTCCATCCAGGAGTCCCATATGGCTTTTGCAATGGCTCCCGTTGCACCAGAAGGGGCGGCGCTGCAAAGAGGGTGCTGAGCTGAAGCTTTTAGGAGCAGAAATTCTATGCGCATCTTTTCGCAAGTGTTTTCGAGCAGCGGAGCTGCTGAATTCGGGCACCCCAGCTGTCTTCCGATCGACGTAACGATCGAATGCGCTCATCCAAGTGAGACATTTTCTTTGTGCAGCTATAAAACTCTTGGCACTGAGCGATCAGCTTCTGGTAAACTCTCGTTGGTTTGGGGAGGCGAAGGGATCGCTCTTCGCAATTTTTTCAGCTGGTCTCTGGTCTCTCTGAGTTCTCGACGCAGTTCTTCCATATCTAAAAAATAGTACGCTCAGGAATGTGTTATTTCTTGGTATTAACTAAACTTATAACCGTCGGCGCATGACGACTGCGCTTTTTCTTAAATCACCTTTTTTTTGTTTTGCTAGTCTACTGCGCGGCGCATGAAGTCACCGGAAAGGGCTAGGCGTTTTTCTTCGCCTGCGCTCTCATTCGTAAACAGTGTTTCCAAAGAGCACATGCGGCCGCGAAAAGGGTTCGTAGTGGGAGACAGCTGATTGTCCAGAGAAGTTTAGCGATCGATTCAATTGTGCGCACACCAAAGGTGCTCAGATAAATGTAGAGCAGCCCTAGTAACAGCGCAATTGTTAGCACCACGACGAGTAGCGTTTTGTACCAGTCAAAAAGAACTTCAATGATATGACCGAAATCGGGCCATTGAAACTCGTTGTAAACGGAACTGCTCCCATTCAGTGTTGCCAAATCAGAGTAGTGGAGAGTGTTTACAAATTTGAGAAGTCCACTTAGCTCAAAAACATTCTCGACCCTGCCGCACGATATTGTGCAGTGTAGGAATTGTTTGGCCGAATTAAGGTGGAAGCGCAGCTCTGATTGTGGTCCGTGCGGGGCACAGGGAATTACAAATGTATGCGCAGCGCACAGAACCTCTCCAAAGACCTCTTCTGATGCTACACACCGAACTTTCGCGATTGCACCCCCTGCGCAGTGGTAACATCCCTGCAATGAGGTGTCCTCGACTGAACAGTCGCTGTCCGCTACCTCTGCAATGGCTGCGTCCCAGATCTGGTGGAAGGTAACGATTATTTCAGATGATACCAAATGAGGTATTTTTGCAACTAAAGACGTGTTCTGACGGTATTTAAGTTCCCAGTAGGGTGTCTTTTTTGGTATTTTCAGTTGAACTTGATTGTATTCATTCGTGATATCGGCTGAAGTACAATGGCAAGAAACTTTGAATTCAGCAGGCGCGCACTTACAATCATCGACAAATGTGCAGTTCATGCGTTCTGCTTGCGCTCGTGAATCGCAAACGATATTTGGGCTTACTGCTCCTGTCCAGATTGCAGTATCATGACCATCTGTGAAAAAGGTACTGCTCAGCGCTGGTGTAGGTGGTAATGATAGAGAAGTCATTGTCAGCTGAAGAGAAGGTAGGCCTATGGGAACATTGGGTATCATTGGACAACGTGTGTTTTCTTTCCAAATGTTCCAATCGTATCCTCTACAGTGATTTCAAACATAACTTTTTGGCGCCA